TATAATATAATTTAAATAATATAATATTTAATTTAATAATTAATTAATTAAATTAAAACAATTTTAATTTAATTAATAATTAATTAAATTATATTTAATTAAATTATATTTAATTAAACCAATAAATATTTGAATCATATTCAAATATACATTTCCCTCGTAACCTATAGTATTTAATACGAATTCAATTCACATTAAACTTTAACCTATAGTTTTAATATGAATCTCATTCACATTATGCTTTCATAATATATAGTTTTATAATGTATCATCATACATTATATTAAATTGTGTCATACACAATCAACTCAAATTCCCTTTAATTAAATTTGAACAATTCAAATTCCTTCCAAGATTTAATGTTCTTAATTACCCTTTACGAGCTAGTAGGGGGACCTAATAGACCTATAGATCAGAAGCTTTAACGTTACGAGATTAATTGGTTAAACTCATTAACCAACTTAATCAACATACGTTAACTACTGGTTACTCCACTAAAAACCCGCAACCGAACTCTTCTCACTATAAAATATTTATGAGTCCACGAATATCAACCATTAATGGCAAGTCAATCCTTCATGAGTGTTCATAATCACAGATGGGTCAAATTACCATTTTACCCATGTGTTACATCTTGTACCTTAAGTACCGCTGGTCCTCTAATGAACAACCCGGGTATGCTCCTACTAATAACCGGAAGTCCCTCTTGGGCCAGTGAGAAGGTGGGGCCCCTTGTTCAAGTCCTGGAGTCAGCACTAAAGGGAACACTCATCTACTCCCCTAAAGTCGGGGAGGAGTGAATTCCTTCTTGTAAAGTTATGTTCTCAGCTCCCCACTCGGTCTCGTCCTCAAAATGGTAGGAATATTGAGTCGGCGACTCGGGTCACTCTCACTCATACAGATCAAAGGACGAGTCCTTACAGGCAAGAGTCCATAACTCACTCAAGATTGAGAATTAGTTGCTTGGTCATCCTATGAAATAACAATCTGTTAGTTAACGATGTTACATCTAAAGATTGGTTATTTCGTGGTCCGGTCTTATACAAACTCATTGTAAAGGATATCTCCACTCGCATGTCTCCACACGAACAACCTGGATCGGGTTGCCTGTAACATTTACAAAGTGAGCCGTATCCAACGTGTTGCCAAAATAAGGTACCCAGCCTCATCTATATACTATCGACCCTTTAGGTTATTCCCGGGACATTATCCACTTGTATATCAAGGGTATGTCAAATATAGACCCAATATATATACTATCCTGGTTACATTACAATAACCTTGGGATGTTTAGTTTATTGGATTAGATAGTTGCAATGTTATGAATTCAACAACACATTGATTGAATATAAATTTTTACAAAAGTACAAACTACGAGTTTAGGGCAACACTCAACAGTCCGACCAATAATCGAAAGTCGCTCTCGAGCCAAAGAGAGGGTGGGGCCCCTTGTTCAAGTCCCAAAGTCAGCATTTAAGAGAACACTCATCTATTCCCCTAAGGTCGGGGAATAGTGAATTCCATCTTGTGAAGTTATGTTCCCAGGTCCCGACCGGTCTCGTTCCTAAAATGGTAGGAATGTTGAATCGGTGACTCGGGCCACTCTCAGCCATACATATCAAAGAACGAGCCCTCACGGGTAGGAGTTCATAACTCACTCAGGATTGAGATGAGTTGCATGGTCATCCTATGAAATAGCAATCTGTTAGTCAACAACGTTACATCTAAAGATTGGCTATTTTGTGATCCGGTCTTATACAAACTCATTATATAGGATACCCCCACTCACATGTCTCCACACAAACGATCTGGATCGGGTCGTCTGTAACATTTACAAAGTGGGTCGTATCCATAGTGTTGCCAGGATAAGGTACCTAGCCTTATCCATATACTATAGACCCTTTAAGTTATTCTTGGGACATTAGAACTATTCACAACCGAAAGATCTGGTGCACGAAAAACAACATGTCACGTGTCGTGAGAGGTTTTATGAGTATTTCAAACAGATAAACATTGGAGCACCAGTGTCGAACTATGGATTCACTATATTGGTGACCTATTAGCAAAGAGGAAAGGTCAGCCAGTTGAACTATGGAAAAATATTTCTCAACTGCCCACTCTCCACTAACACTAGATTTCTGTCATCCTTTGCAGAATGTGTGTCATGGTTAATCAATTGTTTAATCATTCAAAACTTATAAATATTAAAGGTAATTTCACCTTCAGGTACACACAGGTTTGGTTACAAATTTCTTATTAAGGCCAAATTTCTTACTAAGTAGTTTGGCTTGAGACTAACTTGAGCCTTGGAGTACTCTCTATTGTTTTGTAGGTCTCATCTTGATTCGATTTATGATAATTTCTTGAGTGATTAGATTTGGGCAGAAAAACACGTATTTCCTAACAGTCCTCCTTCTATACTTTAGTCTAGTGATGAGGTTAAACTTCTCCCGATTGAGTGAGACCTTATTCTCGAATAGGTCAACACTAATCATGTTCAATCTCCTGTCCTCAACCTCCCTCAATATAAAATGGTGAATTAGGGCCCATTAAATACGAGTTGCACATCTAGGAAGTGGTCGAAACAAGTTTTCCTAAACATTCTAAGTTGACGGGGGTTAAGTTTCTTTTTAATAAGCTTGACTATGTTCTCTACGTGGGACATGCAAGTTAGCTAGACACAATAGTACTTAGAAAGGGAAATTTTTGGTACCATTTCCATAGCTTGATAGTACAAATAGATAAAAACATACATAATCAGAGACATACAAACAAATAATAACATAACATGAACAATAAATAAACATGAGAGCCACTCTAACATAAACAAAACTCGAGCAAGTTCAACATTCTATAAAATATCTCTGACCAAATCTCAAGTGAGTTCGTGCTCGAGATTTTAGTTTAAGGGCAATCCAACAAAACTAGAGCAAGTACGCTCGAGTTTTTTTAGCATTTTGAAAATATTCTTGGGCTAAACCTACGCGAGTTCATGCCTGAGATTTTATTTTCAAATCAACTTGAGACAAAACTGGAACAAGTTTTCTCGAGATTTGAGGATTCTGTAATTTTTCCCAAGCCAAAACTCGGTCCAGATTGTGTAGAGAATCTTACAAACTTCTTTGCTCCATTTTTGTGGGAGTTGGTTTGAAAATAAAACTCGGGGCAAGCAACTCGCTCAGGTTTTAGCTTGAGAAACTTTTCAGAATACTAAAAAACGCAAGCAAACTTACTCAAGTTTTGTTGGATTGCCCTTCAACTGAAATTTCAGGCAACATCTTGCTCGAGATTTCACCCGGTACCCTTTCCACCTCCCCCCGAAATCTCACATCACTCCATCCTCAGGAATTTTCAAAATTTTCCAACACCACAACCTTCGTAAAACGCTCATTATTACTAAACCTTACATTAAAATGGTGTTTCATTTGGTGCAAACAAATAAACCCCTAACCATTAATGTGACGACGAATGAAAGAGTAGGAGAGAATAAAAGTTACATCTACGATTCACACCTCAGAGAAGAAAGTGATGGATGAAAATGACGACAATCGACAACAAACGAGCGAAATAAAAATAAAAATTTGAAATCAAGAGCAACAGATATGAGAATGGTAGAAGCAAGCAAGATTAAAAAACTTGGGTACTTTCAACTTCTCAACATATTCGTTTAATTAAGAGAGGGGAGTTTGGTATTCCTAGTGTACCCAAAAGCATTTCGAGTTTCATAACCCATTACATTTCTTATTTCGAGAAACTTTTCCAAAATTAGTGTTAAATTTTGGAAACTACGAAATTTTCGTTACTCCCATTTCGGCTTCTTTTTGTTTCTGCGTTCAAAGGCAGTTCTAGATTAAATATATCTATCATGATATTATCAATTAAAATAAATCTTCAGGTTTTGCTGGCTTAAGTATGCAAAGTGATTAATCTTTTTTTTTCTTCTTAAACAACAAATATATTTTATATTTTTTAAATTTGAATTTTTTTTAAGAAAGAATAAATTAGTTCACTTTTTTCTTTTTTCCCTCGGAAGAATAAGAAAGAAAGGACCCGGGCGTCCCCTTCTTCCCCTCCTCTTGTGAAAAACCAGCCGCCAGGAGCTCCCCTGAACCTCCTCTACCTCTAGGTGAACCTCCGGCGAGCCACCGCTCCCGCGAACGACGACGCGAACCGGACACCCCTGTGCGACGGTGAAC